ATATATATATATATATATATATATTTTTTTTTTTTTTTTTAGACGGAGTCTCGCTGTGTCGCCCAGGCTGGAGTGCAGTGGCGCTATCTCGGCTCACTGCAAGCTCCGCCTCCCGGGTTCACGCCATTCTCCCGCCTCAGCCTCCGAGTAGCTGGGACTACAGGCGCCCGCCACCACGCCCGGCTAGTTTTTTGTATTTTTAGTAGAGACGGGGTTTCACCATGTTAGCCAGGATGGTCTCGATCTCCTGACCTCGTGATCCACCCGCCTCGGCCTCCCAAAGTGCTGGGATTACAGGCTTGAGCCACCGCGCCCGGCATATATATATTTTTTTGAGACGGAGTCTCGCTCTGTCACCCAGGCTGGAGTGCAGTGGCCAGATCTCAGCTCACTGCAAGCTCCACCTCCCGGGTTTACGCCATTCTCCTGCCTCGGCCTCCCGAGTAGCTGGGACTACAGGCGCCCGCCACCTCACCTGGCTAGTTTTTTGTATTTTTTAGTAGAGGCGGAGTTTCACCGTGTTAGCCAGGATGGTCTCGATCTCCTGACCTCGTGATCCACCCGTCTCGGCCTCCCAAAGTGCTGGGATTACAGGCTTGAGCCACTGTGCCCGGCCGGGTATATTATTATAAATGGTATGCTGCACCTGTAGTCCCAGTTACTCGGGAGGCTGAGGCAGGAGAATGGCGTAAACCCGGGGGGGCGGAGCTTGCAGTGAGCCGAGATCGCGCCACTGCACTCCAGCCTGGGGCACAGAGCAAGACTCCGTCTCAAAAAAAAAAAAAAAAACAAAACATAAATGGTATGCTGCTCAAAAAAGAAAAAAATTCCCAATTCTGAGTATACTCATTTTGGTAAGTGTGTGTGTGTGTATATATATATAAATATATGTGTATACACACACATATATAAATAAATGTATATGTATGTGTGTATGTATATTTATATACACATATATAAATATATATATGCATATATATGTATATATATAAAACACATATATATTTTATTCTATTGTACTGTATTTCCCAGAGTAAGACCTGTCTCAAAAAACAATACAATAGAATAAATACAATAGACAATAGTCCTATTGTATTTCCCATGATTCAATGGTAAGTGTATGTTAAGATATCTGTTATTTGAAAGCTGAGGAATTGTTTTCAGAGGCTCTCAAACTTGAATGTTTCACACTTCCCTAGATGCCTCTGAAGATAGAATTCCCTAGGTCCCATCCCTAGAGACTCTGATTTAATAGATTTGGAGTAAATAGGAGAGTTCGTATGTCAACAGCACTCCCAGGTTGCTCTCCCAGGTTCGTTCAAACCACTAGGCTCCACTGTACCCTCTGATCTTAAAGTATGTGTTTTATCACACGCCCTTTAATTCATTGTTTTACAGGCAGCAATTTAACTACAGGAAGCATAACATCCAAGTTTAATACATTATCTAAAAATTTAATGTGCTTTACTTTCAAAATGTGATTTATATCCATAAAATGGAATATTGTTCTACTCTTTAAAAGAATTAGATTGACTACATGTAGTAATATGAAAAATCTCTAAGATGTATCAAATGGAAAAAACGTACGCAGCAAAACAGTGTGATTGCTTTTTATAGAATCCTTTTTAGATGAACAAAGAAAAAAAGCTTTTTTTTTTTCTGAGACGTTCTTCCAGGTTGAAGTGCAGTGGCGAGATCAGCTCACTGTAACCTCAAACTCCTGGGCTCAAGGGATCCTCCCGCCTCAGCCTCTCCCAGTAGGTGGAGCTACAGGCACGTACCACCACACTTGGCTAATTACTTAATTTTTCTGTAGAAACAGAGTCTCACTTTGTTGCCCAGGCTGGTCTCAAACTCCTGGGCTCGAGCGATCCTCTCGCCTCAGCTTCCCAAAGTACTGGGATTATAGGCCTGAGCCATTGCACCCTGGCAAGAAAAAAGTTGTAAGAAACTGTTAATAGTGGTTACCTTTGGGGAAAGAGACTGATATAAATGGAAGAGGAACGGGAGTGGAGAGGTGAAAGTAGGTTTAAAAGGAAGCTTTCATTCTTCACTGAATAGCTTTCCTACATATAAAAAAGTTTTTAAACAATCTGCAGTGACTCACACCATAAACCCAGCATTTTGGGAGGCTGAGGCAGGTGAATGGCTTGAGCCCAGGAGCTTGACATCAGTTTGGGAAACATGGCAAAACCGTGTCTCCATAAAAAATCAGCTAGACATGGTGGTGCAAGCCTGTAGTCCCAGCTACTTGGGAGGCTGGAAGGGTCACCGGAGCCCGGTGGTCCAGGCTGCAGTGAGTCGTGATTATGCCACTGCACTCCAACCTACGTGACAGAGCAAGACCTGTCTCAGAAAACCAGAAACCCCAAAACCTGGATTAGAGCAAACATGTAACAACATGCAAAACAATTTTACTTTAAGTTAAGCAAAAATGTCATCAATAGCTTCTAGTTATGGCAACGCCATCTCTTCTGTTCTTTGAAAACCACAGTCAGGCCGGGCGCGGTGGCTCAAGCCTGTAATCCCAGCACTTTGGGAGGCCGAGACGGGCGGATCACGAGGTCAGGAGATTGAGACCATCCTGGCTAACACGGTGAAACCCTGTCTCTACTAAAAAATACAAAAACTAGCCGGGCGAGGTGGCGGGCGCCTGTAGTCCCAGCTACTCGGGAGGCTGAGGCAGGGGAATGGCGTGAACCCGGGAGGCGGAGCTTGCAGTGAGCTGAGATCCGGCCACTGCACTCCAGCCTGGGCGACAGAGCGAGACTCCGTCTCAAAAATAAAAAGAAAACCACAGTCAAAGCAATAGGAATGTTAATAGTTAGCTTTCCGTATCAGCAAGCTCCGAACACTCAAGTTCAACCAGCCTGGGGTGGAAGAGACAGTCTTTGTGGGATGCAGACCTGGAAATACAAGGAGCTGATTCTTCCTATGAGTGGGTTCTGCAGTGGGTGCAAAGGGATGACCGTACCTCAACGTTCTCTCCTACAACTTACAATATCAATGCTTAGCTTTCTTGCCAGTTCTTCATCACTTCTCAGTTGTTCTTCCATCGCTCTTCGCCTTTTTTCCGCCTGTCTTTTTTCCTCCTCTTCCTCCTCTGCCAACAATCTGTGTATGTACTCTTCACTGGCTCTGTTCTCTTCTTCCTCGCTGGCCCGCCGCTCTGCCTCCACCTGAAAAGTGATTAGTAAAGAGCAATCCTTTTCTGAACGCTTTGGTATACGTGCAATATTTCATAATAAGAATAAAGTAGAAAAAGAACAAATTGGCAGAGATTTAAGTGATCTCAAATGAAGTCCAAATCTGGAGTAGATTCCTGCAAGATAGCTGTCCCATCTCAGCCTCCCAAAGCACTGAAATTACAGGTGTGTGCCTCCACACCCAACCTGAGATGTATCACAAGTGAGAATCACACACACAATTTTGAACGCTAACAAAAAAAGAGAAAAATCTCTATTTATGTAAAACTTTACATGTAATTAAAACATAATGCTTCACTATAAACACTGCTTTTTAGGTACTTTTCCTATTTAGGAACTTCACAGCCCTTTAACCTTTCCTCATCTAAATCCATAATCTACCACCCTTTTTCTTTAAGCTTAAAACTTTAGGGAAATAAAAAAATGTCCTGGTATGGACTAAATTAGGAAAAAAAAGAATTTAAAAATTTCCTTCATATGTAAAATGCTTAGGGAACACTATCACATAAGAGCATTAATCATGTAGAAGTAAATTATGGCAAAAAACAAAGCCCTTATAAAATATATTAAAAATATCCATATTTCAAGATATACTAGTTATATAAGCACACAAAACTAAATTAAAATCTGAAACTAAAAACACAGCAGAGAAATATTCCAAAAAAAAGAATATTTAGCACCTACCTTACTTATTTCCTCTTCATATTCTCTTCTCAATTCCCCAGGTTTACTTAACAGACGAACTGGCTGACAGTCATCAGCTATTTCATATCAAAAAATAAAATAACACTGTAAGCAACACAATTTTATGGTAACTTTGGTCTTCCATTAAAACTTACTAACATTAAAATGAAAAATTAAAATATACAACTATTAATAACTACAGCAATATCTCCTTTTGGAATTCGATTTAAAAAAAAAATTTTTTTTTTCTAGATTTATTTATCTTTTTTGAGACAGAGCCTTGCTCTGTTGCCCATGCTGGAGTGCAGTGGCGCAATGTCGGCTCACTGCAATCTCCATCTCCCAGGTTCAAGCAATTCTCCTGCCTCAGCCTCCTCCTGAATAGCTGGGATTATAGGCATGCACCACCACACCTGGCTAATTTTTTATATTTTTGGTAGAGACGGAGTTTCACCATGTTGGCCAGGCTGGTCTCGAACTCCTGACCTCAAGTGATCCACCCACCTCGGCCTCCCAAAGTGTTGTAACTACGGGCGTAAGTCACTGCGCCTGGCCTGGAATTCCATTTTATAAGGCCAGAGGTTTAGGGGTTTGGGTTTGAAATGGCACATGAATGCAGATACTTAACCCTTCCTCTAAACTCCATTAATATGACAGTAAAAGAATTTTTAAAAACTGTAATCCTACAACAGCAGAGATTAGCAGAGGAAGTTAACCAATTAAAAAAATTTTTTTTTTTTGGAGACAGAGTCTTGCTCTGTTGCCCAGGCTATGCAGTGGTGCAATCTCAGCTCACTGCAACCTCTGCCTCCCGGGTTCAAACAATTCTGGTGCCTCAGCCTCCTGAGTAGCTGGGATTACAGGCATGCCCCACCATGCCCAGCTAATTTTTGTATTTTTAATACAGGTTTTCGCCATGTTGGCCAGGCTGGTTTCGAACTCCTAACCTCAGGCAATCTGCTCACCTCAGCCTCCCAAAGTGCTGGGACTACAGGTGTAAGCCACCGTGCCCGGCCCTACTTAAAATAACAAATTTCTAGAAAATGGGAAGGCAATGAAATAGAGATAATTGATACAGCAGTAATGAAAGAAAAGAAATCCTTGGAAGAGAAGACTACAGGTGAGGTAGAACTGGAAGGGGATCTGCCTCCTATCTGCCTAGAGTGAGGCTCAATAGAGTCCAGAGTGAGGAAGAGGCGGACCAAAAACAGAACTCGGGGTTTATAAGCCGTTAAATCAGAATCCTTGACGTACTGGCATTTCTCCCTGAATATGGGTGCAGGTGCACACACGCATATGTCTTTAAAGAAACAGATCTAGAGAGAGCCAGAGCAGCTAAGGTAAGAGGTGGCGACCCAGAGCAAGGTCCTCTGCAATCGGGCAGTTAGGGATGGCAAAGCACAAAGGCCAGGTTTCCATCGGCTGGAACTCAACATCTGCCCATCACCAATACCCTTCTATGTATACAGAGCTTTTGTCCTGGGCCTCATTCTCAAGCCTAAAAGCTAGGCCAAGGATCATCAGACATTTGAAATACCTCTGCAAGACTAGAGAAACAGTAAACTATACAAAGAGAAAAAATCATCACCCTGGAGTTGAAAGATAATTCCGGGTCAGAAAATAACCTAAGTGCGTGTATGTGTCCTCAGCAAATGTGACAAGAATGTTTTTCTATAAAACAAGACACTGTTTTGTAAAGGGTAAAATGGGAACACCCAAAAAAGAGCACCCATCTGCCTGTTTCAAGGGGCAGCTGCTACGCAACTCCAGCTGACTACGACTAGCAGGAAACTCAGGCCTGTCCGTGCTATACTTTTGCTTTCTCAAGAAAATCCAGAGACGGCAGGGGTGGATGTTGGGAGACGACTTAATGGGTACAATGTACATTATCTGTGTAGTAGGTACCCTAAAAAGCCCTGACCTGGCCACTATGCAATCTCTACACGTAACACAATTACCCTTGCACCCCATAAAAGTATCCAAGTAAAAAGAAAAACAAAAAGAAAATCCAGAAATCCAGATGTTAATAAGAAATCTTCCAACTTAAATATTGGCATTGGATGGACCACAAAAAAACATACACACAGGATTCCTATGGCCTGCAGGCCAGCAGTTTGAAAAGTCTGCAATAGACTAACTTAAAAAACAGTGATGTGACTCCAAAACAATTAGGGATGCAGTATACTGAATTCTCATTTATTTTGGTCACTAAGGAGGATCTATTCAAGACAATACAATGGCATATACAGGGGAGACATATATAAGGCTCCTTAAAAAGCAGGATACTCAGCTGGCTTAAACTGAGACCTAGATCAGCAATCCTCAAAGTAGAATCTATGAAACTGGACTTTTTTCAGGGAAACTGCAGAGTCACACTATTTTCATTTAAAAAATGAAGGTAAGCTGGGAGCGGTGCCTCACGCCTGTAATCCCGGCACTTTGGGAGGCTGAAGGTTGAGGCAGGTGGATCATGAGGTCAGGAGTTCGAGACCTGCTTGGCCAATATGAAAAACCCTGTCTCTACTAAGAATACAAAAATTAGCCAGGTGTGGTGGCACGCACCTGTAGTCTCAGCTACTCGGGAGGCTGAGGCAGAAGAATCGCTTGAACCTGGGAGGTGGAGGTTGCAGTGAGCCGAGATTGTGCCCCTGCACTCCAGCCTGGGGGACAGAGGGAGATTCCATCCCCAAAAAAAAAAAAAAAAAAAAACACCCAAATAAAACTACTGACAGTAGACCGGGCACAGTGGCTCATGTCTGTAATCACGGCACTTTGGGAGGCCAAGTCAGGTGGATCACTTGAGGTCAGGAGTTAGAGACCAGCCTGACCAACATGGTGAAACCCTGTCTCTACCAAAAAGTACAACATTAGCCGTGAGTGGTGGCGGGCGCCTGTAATCCCAACTACTCGGGAGGCTGAGGCAGAAGAATCGCTTGAACTTGGGAGGCGGAGGTTGCAGTGAGCTGTGACTGTGCCACGGCACTCCAGCCTGGGCAACACAGCAAGACCCGGTCTCAAAAATTCAATACATAAATAAAAGGCGGGGGTGCTGTGGGGGCAAAAGGCCAGGTGTGGTGGCTTATGCCTATCAGCCCAGCACCTTGCAAAGCCAAGGTGGGAGAGTCACTTGAGCCCAGGAGTTTGAGGCTGCAGTGGGCTGTGATTGTGCCTGTACACTCCAGCCTGGGCAACATAGTAAGACCTCGTCTTTGCAAAAAAAAAAGGGGGGGGGGGGCCAAGGACTTACATAGACATTTCTCCAAAGATTATATACAAATGACCAATAAGCACATGAAAAGATGTTCAACATCGACAGTCATTAGAGACAAACGAATCCTAACTACAGAGATCCCGCTTCATAGGACGGCCAACACTTGGTTTTTATAATAGTCATGCATTAAGATATATACACACACAACAGAGTATTCGGCCAAAAAAGGAAACGGGATCGACACACGCTAGAACTCGACGGACCCTCGACACACGATGCCGTGCCGAACAGCCAGACACCAAACGCCAGATACTGTATGGTTCCCCTCGTACGAGATACCGGGAGTAATGAAACCCGCAGAGGCAGAAAGAATGGAGGCTGCCAGCGGCTAGGGGAGGGGCGAATGGGGAATTATTGTTTAATGGGCAGTTTCCAGTGTGGAAGATGAGAAAGTTCAGAGATGAATGGGGGTGACAGCTGCACAAAAACGTGAACGTACTTCATATCACTCAACTGTACATTTAAAATGGTTAACACGGCAGATTTTATGTTACGTATCTTTTACAATAAAACCGGAAAAAAAGTAAATCACTTTACACATTAGATACAATAAAATAGTAGCTAAGAGGCTGGGCACAGTGGCTCATGCCTGTAATCACAGCACTTTGGAAGGCTGAGGCAGGAGGAACACTTGAGCTCAGGATATCAAGACCAGCCTGGTCAACACAACAAGACCCTATCTTTGTTCAAAAAAAAATTTTTTTTAAGTAGCTAATTTAGGAAAACAATAATGGAGGCAGATGTATTATATTAGAAAGCAAAGCATATCATTAAGCAGAATTAAACTAAGCATGTGTGGTAATGACACAGCTATTGATAAAGAGATAGTTAAAAAAAACAAAAAGCCCGGGCCAGGTGCCGTGGCTTACACCTCTAATCTCAACACTTTGGGAAGTGGAGGCAGGTGGATCACTTGAGGTCAGGAGTTCAAAAGCAGCCTGGCCAACAAGGCAAATAAACCTCTCTCTACTAAAAATACAAAAATTAGCTGGGCGTGGTGGTGCATAGCCCACTGCAGCCTCCAACTCCTGGGCTGAAGCAATTATCCTGCCCTGGCCTCCTGAAGCGCTGAGGTAACAGGTGTGAGCCACTGCACCCAGTCCATGTGCTGTGTACCTGTAATTCCAGCTACTCAGGAGGCTGAGACAGGAGCTTAAACCCGAGAGGCGGAGGTTGCAGTGAGCCAAGATCACGCCACTGCACTCCAGCCTAGGTGACAGAGTGAGACTGCATCTCAAAAAAAATAAATAAATAAATAAATAAATACATAGCCACAAATTGCTCTGGAAAATAAGCATACGATTAGTGAAACAGTACATATATCAATGTTACTGGATTATTACCAAGTAGTGTGGCTATAAGTGGCAATCAAGGGCAGGGGGAGTTAAGATGCCTACCTCATACAATACTCAAATTCAAGGTGGATTAGAAAGTTTTTAACGGAAAAAACAAACTATAAATGACTAAGAAGAACATATGAGATAAATTCCAAAACAATTAAAACTTCCATGTGATGAAAGACATCATGAAGTTAAAAACAAACTAGAAGTTACTTGCAAATACATAAATCCCCAGAGAATCAGTGTCCAGAATATACCAGAACTTCCACATATCAATTAAAAACCACAACAGGCAAAGGAAAGGCACGTGCAGTTTACAGAAGATGCCCAACTACAGCCAGCGGAGAACTGCACTTTTCTTAAACCATGAGTGACAGATGTTTAAAGTTTATTTATTTCTACACAAACTGAATCTAAATGAAGATCAGTAAGTTACTCAACTGCAGACACAAGTTAAAATTGTCTT